GTGTGGCTCCGGTTTCCGTGTGGTGTCTGGAAGGTGGAAGTGTCAGGCACTGACGCGTAATTTCGTGGACGCAGCCGTCAAAAAGCTTTTACAAACTGCACTGTCGTGTTGTTGACGGGGGGTTAATTAAGCGTCAGTAGGTTGACAGGCTGATCTGACGGTTGCTGCGGCAATGCACAGTGCTATTACACATGTCACACTTTAGACAGCGTAATTACCTCTGACAGCTACCTAAGCAAGCGATGACTCTCGTCAGAGTAGTTGCTTAAACGGTTGGACAAGAAGTCGCCCTCTGGTTAGCAGTGCAATCGTGGAAACGAAACACCCACTTTCTGGCTGCGACGATGAATTCAACTTCAAACATCAAGTAGAGCTAGTAGCCAGGAGTGCTGAACCTACTTTTGCGATTTCTGGCAAAACGCCACACAGTAAATTTGAATAAACCGCCTTAGTTCACACTGGAGCAACATAGCCAACATGCAAGAACGGTAATAATTGCCAAGATACACACGCACACATCGGGATTTATCACCGCCGGGGTAGTTAAAGTGTAAAATGCATCAAAGCACAGAACCCCTCGCGATTCCACCCAACTCCCCACAGCCAGCGGCGTCGGTCGGAGGAGGCAATTTCGTGCGGATTTCCGCATGTTTTAGGACAAAAACGAGCGATCACACCACAATGTTGACTAGCTCGGGTTTTGAAGGCAAATAAACAGCCACAAAAGCCAGGAAAAACAATCGCCTTAAGCCCGGTGAAGGGGTGATGAGAAAAACCAACTATTTAGAGATAAATCCGGGGAGTAGCAAGTGCGGGTGTGTTTTCTATCAGCAAAATGACAAAAAACACGGACAATAGCGCATTCAGATGCCTCCGAAGACAATAAACCGCCTGAGACAACAATCATACCAACCCTCGAGACCTTTTAAACATTTTCAAATCCAGCTAATCTAGATTAATCAAGAGAGCGAGAGAGAGAGAGGGGCGGCTACATCCAACACATCAGGAAATTAAGGCAGCTACAAGTTGTTAAAAACGCCCACTCCGCCCGCCACATTAAAAGCACATTTAGGCCACCCCCCAAACTCCATTTCTCCCTCCCTCCCAGACATAACTGTAAAACACAATTAGTGTCATGTCGGAACGAACAAAGGTCCATCAAAGAGAGGGTGGAATGATACATGAGTTTATGACCTACTGACACACAACCACCTGCCCATTTCAACTGCGACAAGCCATAGCAACGCGGGCATTAGGCCGAGGAAGGGAGAGGCAGTGGCAATTGTTGTGTTCAATCATAATACATACAACTTTAGGGCAATAAATATACAATTAGAAGCAGAGACATTAAAAAGTTGTAAAACAGGAATAAAAGTACAGAGGGGGAAAAAGGCGGCACAAGTTGAAGGGATGAGTTGAAAAATTCAACAAAGAGCATTTAGACAATGCTGCCGATGTGACAAACAGAGCACATCACTAATCCGTGTCAACTGTCTGCTAAGCCTGCCGCTTGGAAAAATACGCCAACTTCACTCTTCTGACAACTGCACAAAGAGAACCTGTGTAGCTGTCGGTATGACAGCTTCCAAACAACTGTCAAAACACACCCTCAACCAAAACCACATCATGTAACTGCGACCACGACAGGACCCACTTTGTGCTCCTCTGTTTGGTCGCCCCATCGAAGAGGTCCACGTGGAACCAACCACGATTTTCGCTGAAAGATGAGGCGACAAGTGAAGGAAGCGGTGGAACTGACGTGTCCAGACGCCGCGATGGCATTGGCAGATCCACAGCTGGATCGAAACGACTGCTCACGCCAACTCAGGAGAGACTACTAATGTGTGAATTCGAGCAATAACTCTTTCTGCCATGAACGGATAGGCTGGAAGGCTGTTAATCGACCAGCACGAGTCCAGCAACGCTGAGAAGGCGCTTTCAAACACTCAAGGCGAAATCTACTCAGAAAGACGCGACACTCGTAGATCCCACGGACGCGACGACGTCTTCGTCCTGTCTACAGACGTGGGGAACTGAGCGGAGTTCAAAATGCCGCAAGCCACAGAGGAGACGTGGACTGGAATGCTTACCTAGTCGACGTGTTCCACAAAGCCACACTAAAGTGTCAGAGCCTTCAAGTACATGGCACTTCAACGTGAAACTCGGCCATCTCCCGAGTCCAAAGTTGTCTTCTGCATCAACGCAGACGTGAAGAAGTGAGCAGAGTTCAAGGCGCAAAGTTCGACAGGAGGGGGGAGGCGGAGTAGATCGCTTGACCTCGTGGACGCATTCCTCGGCGCCACGTTACAAAATCTAAATATCACAACCCACAGAAGAGTTCAAAAACGATCTTGAAGGCGTCAAAACGAAAGAAATTGATGGCCAAGACGAAACCTCCTTCAAAAACACGGAATTTCACAGCTGAACCTAGAGATTTCCCGGGTCCAATGTTGCCTCCACTATCACTCCGGACGTGAAGATGCAAGCGGAATTTCTAAACGTAGCTCTCGTCAGAGGGAAGATTCACCAGATCGCTCTACTTTATGGACGCACTCCACAACTCCTTGGAGACTTTCCAGACAACGCCACCACAAGCAGCCAGAGAGGCGAGGTGTGATCGACGCGGTAGGCATGGCAATTGTCAGCTCCAACGAATAACTAGAGTTTACACCATCAGGTAGATAAAACTCAATGCGGTTTTCATCCGATTGCCTGACGGAAAATAATATTTCCAGGAAAGTAGATTATTAAACAATGATTATACCATTGTCTACGAGCGACAGATGTGGGCTAACCAGGCAACATATGTCGCGGCGTAAAAACGACAACTGCGACAAGGGGCGAGGGCGAAAACCGAGTTGAGGCAGCAAGAGTTGGGACAGAAACGCGGACCATCTGCCGCGTCGTCTCTACGCCTTCGACGTCATCGCGGAAAAGAAGATGGAGGCGAGGTCTCAAGGTCAACATCAAGTGAAGCGCCGTCGAGTTGTTTGAAATAGCGTCGGGCAGGTGGGATTTGAAAAATGTAACACCTCAAGACAACCAGATCCTGCACAAAAATGCCGAAGTTGATACTTTTAGCACAAGACAAGGAAAAAATTAGTCACTCAGAACGACATAAACTGCGAGGTACAGAAAGGAGGGGAGAAGAACCGCGATCAGGTGGATTATTTTTTTTCTCCAGAAAAATAATTTTGATAAATCGAATTAATTGAAAAAAAATTGTGAAATTGGCTTTTATACAAGATGACAGATTCTGGGGCGTAATGGGCAAGAATGCGGCCAATTCGGGA